TCTATTGTGATCAGGAGCCCTGGGAGAACAAAGTGAGGCTCCCTTCATACTGATGTGCTTTTTTATCCCAGCTCGGGCTCCTACAAAGATTCTGAAGGTCTGCGTCACCATGATGACTTTGATGTGTCCCTCCTGGTTTGCCACAGTGCTGCACCGTTTGAGGAGCAGAGCGAGGCAGAGAGACGCATGCTCCGGTGAGCACTGGGGGCCAGGGACAGCAAAGCTTCCTGGGGAGGAGGGCTCTGGGAGGGACTGGTTCTGTCTGGAATAGCACAGGCAGAGTTGTTGGTGTCTGGGGAGGATCATTGTGAGAACCTGGGCAGAGATGCCTCCTTTCTGGCAGGGACAGAGGTCCTGTGGTTCATTTGCAGTGCAGCTGAGAGGGGAGCAGCCCTTCCCCAGCTCACAGTGTCTCCTTGCTCCCAGGTTGCGTTTCTATGTCATCATGACGAGCCAGCGGGAGCTCTTTCCGCGGCTCACGGCCGACATGCGCCGCTTCAAGAAGCTGCCGCGCCTGCAGCGGGAGGTGCTGGAGCCCGTGGTAGGCCGGGCGGCCTGGGAGGCAGCGGAGCCAGAACCGAGCCTGGGCCAGCAGCCGTCGGCAGAGCGGGAGCCGTGGCAGGACGTGGAGGACAGCAGCGAGTTCTACGCGGGGGGCACGCAGGTCAAACTGGGGCCAGGGCTCTTCTACACCTCTCCGCTCTTCCCCTTGCTGGCCTCTGAGGTGGCCTCAGCCCAGAAGCAGCTCAGCAGCATGGTGCAGCTGGCCAAGTGCCACTGTCGCAGGGACAACCTGTGGAAGCGCCTCTTCCTTCTGGAGCCTCTGGCTTCTGACAAGCTGAAGCTGGGCAAGCTCTCGTTGGTGGAGCTGGAGGAGCTGCTCGATGCCGTGCATGGGAAATCCATCGCAGATGTCGACCCCCAGCTGGTGAGCAGCAGGGATGGGGGCACAGCACAGCAGCTGCTGTTCTGCTCAGGGGATGGAGTGGGGTGCCAGGTGAAGGGGCCTGCAATGCACATCTCTTCCTGCTTGGTGGGAAGGTAGAGGCAGGAACACAGCTCCTAACTGGCAGGGGAAGGGGGATACTGCATGGACTTGCCTATAGAGAGTGAACAGCCCTTGGTCAGCATCCTCAGTGGGCTGTGAAGGTTGCATCTGATCTGGGGTCTGAAGGCTGCTGTAGCATTATGGCTGCTGGTGCCATGGCTAGAGGGAGGCTGAAGATCAGGCCTTTTCTATGCCTTCAGGAATGCTTCCTCACCATGACAGTCTCCTGGTATCAGAGCCTCATCAAGGTGCTGTTGAGCCGCTTTCCCCAGAGCTGTCGGCACTTCCACAATGCTGAAACCGGCACCCAGTATCTGGTAAGACACAGCCCATTGCCCACCTGCAGCCTCTGTCCCTGTGTCCCTGTCCTGGGTTCTGTACTGGCTCCTTTCTAATGTGCTCTGTGACTCTCCTGACAGGTTGTGCTCAACCAGAAGTTCACAGATTGCTTTGTTCTTGTGTTTCTCGATTCTCATTCAGGAAAAACGGTGAGTCCTTGGGAACAGAACAACAGCTATGTTGGCTCAGGCCCGGAATCTGTCTAGATTGATCCAGCAGTGGCCAAGGGCAGGTGTGCATGAGAACATGACCAGGTCAAGAAGCTTGTAATGCTTCTCCTAAATACTGTCCCAGTATCTGAAAATCTATAGCTTAGGCCCATCCTGAGCTAGAAGTGGCCTTTGCATTTATTTAATAGCCCTGCACAGCTTTATTTCCTTTGGTTAATTTCTGGCATCCGTGATTTCCCCTGACTTGCAGCTCCATAAGGCAGTTGCAGTCTAGGTGAAGAAGTTCCTTGGCTTATTTTTGAAACTCTTACTGTTCTTTCCATGTGATGTTCCTTTGTTCTTGTATTAGAAAAGAGTGAACACTTGATCCTCTTTTCCTTCACAGGATTGCTTTTGGATCATTTTCTCAGTTGTCTCTCTATCCAGGCTAAGCAGTCCTTCTGTATTCAGTCCAAAGTCAGATCATACTGAGTCTGGCTGGGAGGGGTCACCAGTGCTGTGGGCTGCTCCTGTCTGGGCAGAAAGGAAGGGGACCTGCACTGTCAGGGTCCTAGCAAACCTGCAAGGGCCTTTGCCTTCACCGAACTTGAGGGCAAAAATACTTTGATTTCATCTGTGCTCCCAGGCAGGGTACAGGATAGGTCACAGGGAATGCAGCTCCATGTGAGAGCAGGGGATCTACAAGAGGCTTCAGTCCACAATAAGGCTTCTGCAGAGACTGCAGAATAACTGATGCTGTATAAAATAAATCATGCTCCATCTGAAAAGCAGGTAGGGGAGACAGAAGAGGTGGTGCTTGCTGGAAGGCTGCTCAATGCCTCCTGCCACCTGATGGTCATAGTGTCACCTTGTGGTCATTGATATGATAAACCCAGAACCTCCATCCCCTCTCCAAGTGACTCTCATTTTGTAACAGAAATCCTTTGTTTTCATAACATTGTATTTTGTGCTTAACATTCATCCCATTCTTGTGGCCTCTCAAAAGTCTCTCAGGGTTTTGTTTTTTGGTGGTTTTTTTTTTTGCATTATCCCAATTGTCTTTTGTATTAGTGCCTCAAATTTTATCAACATACTCCTCATCTTTGTACTAGACTTGTTAAAGTACTAGGCAACGTGAGTCCCGAAACCTGTTCTGAAGGACCTCTATCTGTAACCTCTCTCCATTTCCCCTTTCAGCATTGCCATGTTCTCATCTTATAATTTTTGAGTTAATTCCTATCTTTTCAGCTTACCTAAATTTCCCATGTGACACCACATCAAATCCATCCTGAATCTCAGATAAGATGTACCATGATTCCTTTGTCTGGAAATATTGCCTTATCAAAGAGAATTTTAGCGTTAGCACATCACTTTGGTAACACTGAGCTGCATTTCCCTCATGGTTCTGTCTCCCCCAGTCTGCTCGGAAACCTTGTATGCTGCTGGAGCTGGTTTCACAAATAACTTCCTTTCTCCTCCTATATGATGGTGGTACATTTGCTGTTTTGTAGTTACACAGCTCTTATCATGGCTTAACCAGTTTGTAGGGGATCCTGGCTACTGGATGTGCTGCATTTCAACTCTGGAGAACATCCTGTCCCTGTGTCTTGCCTCCATGACGCTGATCTGAGTGCACTGAGTCATATTTTTGTTCTGCTTCAGCTCCTGCAACCTCTGCCTGCTCCCTGTTCCTCTCTGCCTTTGCCCTGCCTTTTCAGTACAGTCACTAGTCAGAGTGGAGCAGGCAGCGTTTATTTTTAGGATTGCGGTTATTACATTTAATCTCCTCCCCTTCCCCATTTGTTGCACTCCTACTCTTTCCCTTAGAAGAAGAAATTTCCCTCTAATTTCCCTGGAAGCTCCTGTTATTGTGGAGGCAGTAGGATCCCCTCCTCTCCTGTGGCTGCTGCCAGGATTGGTGTAACTGCAGATGCATGAGAGCTGGGACAGAGTCGGCAAGTCCTTGCACCGAATTTCCAGCAGAAAAATTGGAAGTAGGCTCAAACATGCTCTGTCACAGGAAGAGGCATTAGTTTAGTGCCTTTGGCATTTTGGGATTTCTCCCACTATTTGCCTAACACTGCCAAAAAACTTCCACACACCTCGGCTAGGAATTGCACAGTGCTTGTCTGCATCCTGTCCTCTGACCCTCTCCTCCCTCTTGGCAGAGCCTGACTGTGGTTTTCCGGGAGCCGTTCCCAGTGCAGCCCCAGAACAGCGAGAGTCCTCTGCCACAGCTTGTGTCCACATACCATCACCTGGAGTCAGTGATCAACACTGCCTGCTTCAACCTGTGGACAGGCCTGCTCTAGCACCAGCACCCCCGTCCCGGAGCAGCGCCTGTTCTGACCTCGGCACGGCCGCGCCATGGTGACCTGGGGAAGAGCGGCTCTCTGGGGGGACCTGTGCGTGGGCACTGCAGGCAGCGCTGCCAGTGGCACACGTGGGGATGTGCACCTCCTCACTGGCTGGCTGGTATGGCCCTTGTGTGCTGTTTTCACTGGGTTTGATACTGAATGGCCTTGAACCAAACAGCAAGGGCAGGAACTTGGCTGCTGCAGCCTGGCTGAAGCAGAACAACTCTCAGGGACGTGGCTTTGGCAAGCATAGGTGAGTTCTGCCTGCTGGGAAGGCACTGAGGAGTGTGCATGGCACCATCTTCTGCCCAGGGCAGCACTGCACAGTGCTCTGGCTTCAGGAGGAAAGACTCCTGAGTGCAGGGCTGCCTGACTGGCAGTGAGGACAACTGCTTCTGGCCTTTTGCTTTCCTTGGGAGAGCATGAATGGGACAGGAAGGGTGAACTGGATCACAGGAAGGTTTTATAGAGATGTACATTTGAGCCATTGGTCTATCTGTGAAATAAACTGAACCAGATCCCTGCTCAGTCACTGTAGGCTGTGGAAAGCTGCCTGTGGAGGATGCAGAGCAGCCCTGGCTATGGGTTGGGTTTGTTCTGGAATCTGACACTTGCTCCAGAGCAGGAGCAGCAGGACAGTCAGCCTTGAGTATCCATGTGCAGGCAGCTCTCAGCCTGATACCTTGGATCAGACAGCCTGGGAGGGCTGTCTGCTGCTTGCTTCACTTGCAGCCCTGCTACAGAGTCATTGCTGGGCACTGGCAACAGCCATGAGAACTTCAGTACCTGGAAGTCCAAAGTGATCTTTCCACAACTTCAGGCACCAGCTGGAATGCTCCCCTTACTGGAGAAACTGGAAACCTCTCCCTGGACACCCCTGCAGCCTGGAAGTGAAAGTTTTCTGTGTACCTGAAGTCAGCTACAGTAGTGCCTGAGCCATCAGTGAAGATTCTACAGGTGGTACTTGTGTAGATGAGGGTCCAACAGCTCGGGCTGGCCCAGTAGAGCCTGGGGAAGGGCAATGACATAGATGCTCCTAACCTCATTCTGGGAAATCATCCCACCCACCACACTCCCCTAGTCCTAGAGAAGACACGTGCTCCTCTGTTAAGCCATTGCTTTGTCTTTTATTCTCATGGTTTTCTAGTTTTACTTGGCTGCCTTGCTGGTCCCACCGTGCTGCAGTCCTCGGCTTTCCCAGTAGGATCGCAGCCAGCCCAGACCTTCCAGGGTGTCTCCTGCAGTGACAGACAAGGTCTCCTGCTGCACCTGGAGCAGCTTCTGTTCAGGACAGAGCCCTCATCCCCAGGTAGGGATGACACCCACTACCTGTGCCCCCAGGACCTGCCTGTCTTTGCACAGTACCCAGCCAGCTGGTCTGCCTGTGGGGCTCAGACCTGCAGGCCCACTCACCCTTTGGAGCATACTCGCACCCCACGTAGCCAGTGTAGCCAAGGGACTCCAGGAGCTCAAAGATGTAGGGGAAGTTCAGCTCCCCAGGGCTATCGGGCTCGTGCCGCCCTGGCACCTGTGCAATCTGGATATGACCTAGGGAGGGAAGGGGAGAGGCCATGCCCAAGGCAGCCCTGCCTGCAGCCTTCTTTGGCATGAGACAAGGTGAGCCAAGAGCAGCCCCACACCCCCAGCCAGCTACAGCAGAGCCTGGAGTAGGAGGGCCCTGTCAAAGCCCCTCCCCAGTGGTGTGGGCACAGGGTGTTACCAATGAGTGGGAAGTACGTCTCCAGGTTCCGTGACAAATTGCCATCCATGATCTGGCAGTGAAAAAGGTCCTGGGGGCGAGAGAGGAAAATGGAGGGTGCAGCTGGTCAGCAGTGAGCAGTTAAGGACAGCTGTGCTATGGTCCCTGTCCAGTGTCCCCAAGATGTATAACAAGCCCATGGCCACCACAACTCCTTAGTGGACCTGCGCAAGTTTTTCTCACTGAGAGTTTCAATGCTGACTCACCAGCTGCAGCTTCAGGTTGGGCCGTCCCACTTTCTCCAGGATGGCAGCAGCTAAGGGGACAAGAAGTGAGAAACTACTGCCCCCAGGGTGAAAGCTTTGCAGAGAAGCCCCAGGACCCCCTTTATCAACTGTGTTCTTTCAGCATCTCCCTCCTTGTGAAGCAACCTCTTGCCTTTCAGACTTTGGAGATCCTTCTCCTCTGAAGGAAGGAGACTCTTGTCTGGCTTACCTTGGTGTGGGGTGTTCAGATAGTAGCGAGGGTCAGTGATGCGGTTGTTGATAGGCTCCAACAGTCCAATCATGTCTTCCTGTAACACAGTTATGTCACCCTGTGGAGCCTCCTGTCATCTCTGCAGCAGGAGGCATAACTCCCCTGTGCCAGGCTGGTGGGATATTCCCCATCTTGGGTATCCTAAAAGCTGCACACACAAAGGAGGACCCATTCCCCACTTACCTGGGACAGGAGGTCAGCAGTGTATCTGAGATTCTCAATGAAGGTGGTTTCCATCTCACCTGCCACTGCAGCCCGGTCTGTGCCCAAGGGAACCCGCCCAGCCATCACATGAATCCTACAGGCACAGAAAGATTATCACAGGCAGCAGCTGGCCTGATTTAATACACCTTCCTCTGCTGATGGAAAAGGGGGCCAGGCTGGGGGAGCAGACACAGAAGGGGGTAAGAAGAGCCATCTCTCCTCCAGGAGGCACAACAGCAGCCAGCAAGCTGCCAGCCAGGACACAAATATGCACCATCTCACCTCAGTTCAGAGAGGGATGACTTTGAACCTTTTGCCTGACAAATCACAGACCTTGCTTCTTCTCTCTTTTGTTAACTGCCTTCAGCTCTTTCACCCTGACTCTGGAACTTTCTTGGACTCTTGCTCCTTGGCGGGGCCCCAAACCAGCATGTTGGGCAACTGGCATGCTGCTTCTGCCAGGGGCCTGCCCCATGTGTGGTGTCACTGCTTGCTGGCTGTGAACAGGGAGGGGACAGTGCCCCATGCTGGACTGCCCTGCCATGAAGAGCTCAAGCACCAGGCCATCTTCAGCCATCATTGGGGGAAGGGACACAGCAGAAATAAAAACCTTTTCAATGTGTCTGTACCAGTGTGCAAATGGTGCTGGGCAGCCTCTGGCGTGGCTAGCCCATGCCCTCCACAGGGCTTTGGACTGAGTTGCAACAGGAAAGAATGGTGCAAAGTAAGAGGAATAAAAGGGCCCTGTTGGTTTGCTGAAGGGAGCAGTGCCAGGCTAATTGCATCTTTTACGGTGTCTCTGCTGTGCTGGAGTCAGCGTGGCCTCAACAAAGCAACTCTTGTGATGTCCTGGTGGAAACGATTCGTGCAGTTGAGGAGGAAAAAGGGAGGATTATCCTGGGGACTGTTGTGTGGAGGTGGGAACAAGAGCCTCTACTGCGAAGGGCAGGGTCAGGCTCGTGCCTGGCAGCTCTGGGGCCGAGCACGCTGAAGCCGCGGCCCCGCACAGCGGGGTCTGCCCCGAGCTGGCTCCGTCCCGATGCAGCCGAGCAGGAGATGCTGCAGGAGAGGCTCCGTGACCCGGCGGCGGCGGGCACCGCGGGGCAAGGGCAGGCTCCGCTGGGCGCAGCGCTGGAGCAGCCCGGCAGCAGAGGAACGGCCCCGGCAGCCGCGGGGCCGGGGCCGCGGCCGGAGCGGGGGTCCCGCCTCGCACCTACCTGGGGCAGCCCACAGCCCTGGCGTAGTGCACGGCCGCCTCCAGGCCCTGCCGGAAGGCTGCCTGCCGCCCGGGCACGGCCGCCAGCCCCAGCTCGCCCGCCTCCGGGTCCCCTGGGAGAGAGCGGCAGGGTCGGCGGAGGGTCCTCGCTACCCCACGCACGGGGGGGGCAGCGGGACGCGGCCGTACCGGGGGGGGTGTTGAGGAGCGCGATCCGCACCCGCGCCCGCTCCGCCGCCGCCCGCAGCTCCTGGGCCGGGCAGCCCGCCGGCCAAGCCGCCTCCACCGCTCCGAACCCGGCGGCCGCCGCCGCTTCCAGCCGCGCCGGCAGAGCCGGGAGCTCCGGGAAGAGCCATGAGAGGTTGGCGGAGAAGCGCAGCGCCATGGCGGCGGGGCGGGGCGGGGCGGGCCTGGGCGGTGCTCCCGCGGCCACTCCGGGCACCGCGTCCCGCCCGGGCTGCCCCGGCCCGCCCCGGCCGCGGAGCGCAGCGAGCCCCCATCGGCAGGGGCAGTGCTGGGCTCGGCCTTGCGGGCATGCGGCCCCTGAGGGCTCCGGGACGTGCCCCCGGCCGTGGGTGAGCGGCCCCACGCCGCCTGTGACACGCGTGGGGCTCCCGGCTGCGCCCGAGGGTCTGCGGGACAGGGCCGCGCTGGGGGCGCGGGGAGCTGGAATCCGCTCTGGGAAAGGGGGTTTTGCCCGGTATTGGCCTGACACACGCGAAGCGCCCTCTTAATTGGTTTCCTGGGGAGCTCGTCTCTGACAGCGTCTCATTATGCGAGAAACGCTCTCTCCTTTTGTCCCATGCTCTGCATATTTTACCATAAAATGTTCATCTCCAGTTCTGCAGAGCTGTGGCTCGGGCGTGCAGGAGTGTGACCCGGCGGTGCCCGCAGGCAGCCCCGCGCTCCCAGTGCCCATTCCCCGTGTGCTCTGTGCGGCCCCAGGCACACTCGCAGGCTGCACGCCTGGGGTGCCTGTCCTGCCCTGGCCATGCCCGGGGGCTCTCCCGTGGCTCACAGAACGGGTACCATGAGCCGTGGACATTTTGCAGCCCCTTGTGTTTCAGTTTGTTCCTGGGGCCTCCTTCCCCGTGCCGGGGGAGCCCCGCATGGTCCGGCTCCTCTGTCACTGCTGCAGTAGCCCTCTGCAGCCCCAGGCAACTGCAAGGCCCAGGAATTCGCTGTGCTGTGGGAGCACAGCCTGGGCAGAGGCCAGACACTGCAATAGGTTTTTGGTGGGGGATCAGTCCCGGGGCAGGGCCGGCAAAGGGGATAGCAGTGGTGAAGCTACCCACTAAGGAGTATCAACTCAATTAAAGCTATTGATTAATCAATTAGAAGAGGCTTGAGTTAACTTCTCAGTAATAATCCAAACTGTCAATTGCAGGGAGTGGCATCCATGTCCTCGGGATGCAAAGGGGCCATGAGATGAAAAGCCTCTCCACAGGATCCAGCACCAACCAGGCTGTACACCAAGACCAGTGTATCCCCATGACGGCTGTGCCCTGAGCCCCATCACCCCTGCTGGGATGTCCCTCACAGCTCCTCGGTGTTGGGGCAGGCTTTGCAGAGTGATGTGACCTGGCTGGCTGCACGTATATCCCCAGCTCCCCTTCTAATCCAGCACACATGTCCCCAGGACACAGACTGCTCCCTGCCAGCGGCCGCCATGCCAGGGGAGCACTGCACCTTACACATGTCCTGGGGCCTCACTCTGTGGTGCACAGGGGTTGGCATCCTCTTCAGTCTTTTCCAGGAGGCACCCGAGTGCAGCTGTGTGGATGGCAGAGCTGCACAGTCATTGGAATCCCTAGAAAGAGAGCTGGTACCTGCCTGGCCTGGGGCTGCAGCCTCACTGGGTCCTTGCACCTCAGAAAGGCATTCACTGAGGCCGTGCATCGCCCCGGCAGCCCTGGGTGCATCTCCAGCTGGAGCCCAGGCTCCTGGCTGGGTCAAAGCCCAGGAGTCAGTGTGTGCGAGCAGGAAAGCTTTGCTGGGTGGGGGTGTCAGTGAATAAACACAGAACTGAGCCCCAGCATGTGAGTGACCCGAGCAACCAGATGGGAATGCACAGAGCCCTCATGTAAACCTGCCCTGCGATGGCGGGCGAAGCTGAGGGCTCTGTGCTGAAGCATTAATAGCATCTTTATGTCTCTGGTAATATATTGCATTGATTTTCTCATGTTATAACTGCGGTTCCTGCATTGCAGGCCGGTGTTTTGTCACTTTACCTTGACAGGACGCAGAGGATTTACTCCCTGCCGTGGCACACACAGCTCTGGAGCTGTGCCTCACGCTGCTGCTGGGGCCTGTGTGTGAGGAGCCAGCACAATGAGCATGGGGGCAGATGGGCCCCGTGTCCCCAAGGAGGATGAGGAGGGGGCCAAGTGGGGTGCTGGACAGGGAGGGCAGCTCTGTACCAAGCATCTCTGCTGCTGCCCAGGAGTTTTATTAGCCTGAGGAAATCGTAGCTTCTGCACATTTTATTGTCGAGCTGACATTTCGTTGCAGACCCAGCTCTGGCCTCTGAGGTGGCTGGGACGGGGAGGTGGCAGTGCCTTGGGGTGCCCTGGGGTGCCAACAGTGGAAGCTGCCCCCTGAAGTGGGGACACCAGTCCTCCCAGTACCCCATAAATCTCTCATCTCATTTTGCTGTAGGGCAGGTTTTATCTTTCTCCTTTATGAAAGATGTTTTAATTTAAATTGACATTTCTGTATTTTAACTGCTTGTCCCAAGCTCCCAGGTGGCTCAGCTGGCACCCCAGGGGCCATGAGGGATGAGGTGCTGTGGGCTGGGGTGTCTGGATGGTGCCATCCCACTGACACTTCTTACCCCATCCCTCCTGGGCACCCCCAGACCTGTCCCATTCCCCCCTGCACCCTGTGGCTGTGTGAGGGAATCCAGGGCTCAGGATGGAGGGGGTATCCCAGGCATCCTTTCCCCCCAAGCTTTCTTCTTTCCTCTAAAGCACCCCAATATTTTGCAGCCATGTTTGGATTTTGGCTTTTATAGGGAGTAAATTCTAGCCTCTTTATGTGTAGAAAATGGCTGGGAAAAATAATCCACATAATTTTGGATTATTTTGGAGGCAGCTGCAGAAGTTTTCCTTGTATTAAATCTCATGATTTTTCACCAAAGATGGTCTTCCTTAAACCTACACCCTCAGGATGCAAAGGGACTAAAAGATGAAAAACCTCTCCACAGGATCCAGTACCAACCCAGCCCTGCCTTCCCAGCTGTACACCGAGGCCAGTGTATTCCCATGATGTTCCCTGAGCTCATCACCCCTGCTGGGATGTCCCTCCCAGCTCCCCAGTGTTGGGGCAGGCTTTGCAGAGTGATGTGACTTGGCTGGCTGCATGTACATCCCCAGCTCTCCTCCTTACCCAGAATCCCACTCAATTTCTTGGACCTCCTTGTTTCCATGGCCATGGGCACCAGGTTTGACTCAAGGACCTGGCACTGAAGAGAGGTGTCAGTCCTGGTGCCCACTGGGGACTCCTTGGTGGGATTGTCACTCAGTCAAGTCCTCCCCTGCTTACCCTGGTCAGTGCATACTGTACAGAGTTAATTTGTTAATTAGTGTCTTTCTGCTGCTGAGTCACCTGTTTTCTGCCGTTGAGGTCTGCTGTGCCCTTCAGCCACCTTTCTTGCTCAGTTTCCACCTCCTAAAATGAAGAAGGTACCTTCTGCTGCTAATGATGGAGTGCAGCAGGACTGTGCCACAGCTGGGACTTGCCCTGGTCCTGTGGGGTCCTCCCCTCCTGGACCCCCTTTCTCCTCCTCCTCCTCTTCCTCTTCTTCATCTTTGCCTTCTTCTTCTATTTCTTCTTCCTCCTCTGCTCCTTCCCCTCCATCCCTCCAGCCCCTCCATATCTCCTCCATTCCCCTATCCCCTCTGCCTTTCTGTCCCCTTCATTTTTCTGGTTGCAGGCACTGCACAGCACATGAGAGATGCAGGGAAAGATGGCAGTCCCTCCCAAAGCTGTGACAAAGATTCCTGCAGGATGCCTTAATGAGCATGTCATCCAGCTCAAGCCTCACTTTCTTGCAGCCTCCAAAAACACATGGATACAGAAAATCTGTATACAAGTAATGGGAAACAAAAGCCCAACCTTTGCCAACTTACGGCTATTCTTCATCAAGAAGGATCGAATTGGGTGCAAGCATGATATAAATCCCAGCAGAGCCAAGTTAAGGACTGAGCACCCCTGCGTCCCTGCAGCTCCCAGCAGGGGTGGGCTCTCCATCAGCCGGCCAGGATTTTCTTGCTATTCCAAGATTTTGTAGGAAATTAATGAGGAGGCCAAATTCTCCTCCAGCTCTTGGAGGAGGCCAGGGTGGGCGGTGCCTGGGCCCGCTGAGCTGGCAGATGTTGTTTAACATTCCCGGCAGTAATTAATAGATGGTTTCATCACTCTTGTACAATTCAAGCATGTCGTCCTGCTTCTCTCCAAATGCAGAGCAGAAATATTTGTTAAACGTGGCTGGTGTTTTCTCCTCATCATTAGTGCTCGAGCGGTTCCAGCCACTCCAGGATTTATCACCGTGCCAAAATTTTGTTTGGCCTCATGATGCTGCCACCAGCCCTCCCTCCACTGCTGGCTCCTCCTGTCAAGAGGCTCCCTTTATCACTTCCCCTCTGATTGATGTCCTGCTGGTTGCACCCTCTCCTTTACATCATGATTATGGATTCCTCCCTTTTCCATTCATTACACAGCAGGAGAATGGGCTTTGGCCAAACTCTCTCCCTGACCAGGGCACCCTGTGGAATTCAACCCAGAAAGGGTCTGCAGGTATCACTCCCACTACCCAGCACCCATGGTGGGCTGCAGGGGAAGGGCTCCCCCGGGGGTGCTTCACCCCACAGTGTCCAGGTGGGCTGGTGAGGCCGCCCCAAGCAATGACATATGTGGGGACACAGCCTGGGTTGGGCTGGGCACAGCATGGTGATATCAAGCAGTGGCTTGGAAGCAGGACAGAGCTGCCTTGAGGGAAGTGGCAGCCCATTAGCCAGCATTGCTGGCACCCCAGGGAATCACTGCAGATACAAATTAATCGGAACCTCCCAGCTCATCATTAGTTATTAATAGTATCTATTAGTTATTAGCTATTAGTTATTAATAGGAGCCTGCCAGCTTGCCAGCAGTTCACTCCAAACAAAAGCAAGCGGGTTCCCCCCAGGAGTGCCCTGCTCACGGCAGTGGCATGGCACAGTGCCAGTCCCCATGCCCAGAGTGGGGACATGGGGAACAGCTGCTCAGCAGTGGCCAACCTGATAGGGGAAAGCAGGACCCAGGGTGGGAAGGGGATGCTCCCACTGTGTGCCTGCTGAGCTGAGGCTGACCAGGTGCCCGGGGTCTGAGTTCAGCCCTTCCCTGCCT